AAAGGCAATGAGATTCAATCAAATAATAGTAACAATAAAATAATGAACAAAGCAGATAGAGAGATAAATGCAGTTGAAGAAACAGCAGAGAATCTGAACGTTACTAGTAAAAATATAGACAAAGCGACTGAGGAGGAGGAAACTAGAGATATTTCGGATTATGAAACACACACAGAAGAAGTGCAAGAAGAAAAAACGTTAGACAATCTTGATAAAGCTAATACAGAAGAATTAGATAAGGAAGTAGGAGAAATAGAAAATGAAGGAGAAGAAGAACAGTACATGGACGTTCAAAGTACCGACACAGAGGAAGAGAAATGTTTTAATTTTAAAAATGTAAAATGTTGAAAAAATAAGAACCTCACTGATTTATTTTCACAATAAAAAATAGAAATACTTACTTTTCTGGGGATTCTCAGAAAACATGATCCCAATGTCCTCAATATTTGCTAATAAATTCCTATACAAAACAATAAAGTACTTCTTATAGATTATTATTAAAACTTATTCTAAAGTCGTCAGTATTTGCTAATAAATTCTTATAGAAAACGATAAAGTACTTCTTATAGATTATTATTAAACCTTATTCTAATGTCGTCAGTAATTGCTAATAAATTCTTATAGAAAACGATAACGTACTCCTTATAGATTCTTGTAAATGTATAAGAATAAATCGGAAAATTGCATGAGAAATATGGCGATTTTTATAAGAATTTATAAGAAAATGTCTTATTGATTCTTATAAAATGTGCACTATTTCTCATGCAATTTTCCGATTCATTCTTATAAGTTATTTTTTTATAAGTTTTTATCGGAATGTTTAACCAGGGTCAACACGCTCACCAGCGCTAAAAGAACATTTATTGAAAGATGGTTGTTTTATTTAAGTAATAGGTACACGGTATATCCCCCCTATTGATACACTCCCCAAAACTTTATTACTTTTTATTAATTTTTTATACCAAAAAAAATTTACATTCATAATTTGGCGCCTCAGGAATTCTTTCGCTTTTTACCAATATAATATTTTCCATAGTGATGCAGCAACTTCATGGTAGTACCAACTTTATAAAAAAAAGTCGTACTTTTAAGGCTGGGCTGTAGACTGATTTCCCCCTAGAAAATTCCTAGCAAATTTTTCTCTACAAATGACGGCGTCAAAAATGGATGAATTTAGTTAATTTAGGACTTAATCGAAAGCTTATTTCATTCTTCACATCGGAAAACAACAATATAATAACATTAATTACTTTATCATAATTAAAAAAGAGGATGAAGATATGCACTCACTTTCACTAGATTTTAGAGGTGTCATGGCGGATACCGCTGTCATCAGCCGTCAACGAGAAAATGATTTATTTCACAATAACCACTGTACCTATACTGTAAATCGTTGTTTTCCGATGTACATACTATTATTTGAAATATTTAAAAAAATATTTTATATTAAAAAAAGGAATAAATAAAACACAGTTTCACGAGAAAAATTTCAGGTGATCATTCACAGAATCGTATTTTTTCCATTCTCGACAGGTGGCGCAGCAATGGTCTCTGAAAAGCATGGAATGATTATTGATTTCTACGACAGTGCGTATCAAAATTACTCAGGGCCCTAAGACAAGTGACAAAGAGCGTTATATCTTCTGTCGCAGTCTTACTCATTCTATCTTTCTGCGCATGTGTAGAAACCTAAACAAGCTCCAGCATGTGCAAATCATACGTGTAATCAACCAAACAATCAAGATGTGACGAGTATGAAAAACATGCAATTACACAAGCGTAAGGTATGACATTTACAGTCAGCTGATTACACGTTGTAATGGATATGACTGATTACAAGCAATTATTTAGAATATTTATTCCATCCAAAACCTTAAATACATTATTTGAAGCAATAAAACATTTTTAAGATATTTTAAATATACATAGTATATTTGTACATGTATATGTGTATATAGAGTACAGCCTTTGAAACAATAAAAAATATTCACAGAACAAATAGTCTTCTGGACTTCTATTTTTCAAGAAATAAATGATATAGACAATCTGAGGTGCTTCTTTTACTTAATTATTCTTATAAATAATGAAGATTATAATTTTTAAGTCAAAGTTTTATATATTTAGTTTTCAACATTTACTTAGATTTCAACACATCTATCGTTGATATGAAAATAACATTAAATTGTAGATGCTCTTCGAAGATGAAATTAGACAATAAACAAATAATTATATTAACAAGAATCATATTTTGATTATTTTTTATACAACATAATGAAAATACTGTATAAAATTGCTCTTTATACATATCAGTGTCGGTGCCATCAATTAAGAATATATTTGGTTTATTGTTTTCTAAATGATCAAAAACCACTTGCTTCCTGGTTTCAGATCCAGTTCATTCAACGTGCATACAGTGCACTGATTATTCATCGCTAAATTTAAGACTAATCTGGCTAAAAGTCTATCTCATGGCCAGTAATATTGAGTTTCAGATTTTTGGCAAATATAGAATTTTTTTCAGTGTTCATAAACTGCATATCTTCATAATTAATTTGGCCGAGAACATTCATATGCAGATCCTGAAATCATTCATTATTTAATAAATATAAGTTGAAATATTCGAAATTTTTTGTGTTGTTTATAATATTTAGAATCTCTCAGAACTTCAAAAGACAAAAAATAATGTAAACACTTACCATATTCACTTCAGTCAATTCTGCTTGTAAAGTTACATTTACTTGCGCTATCATATAGTACTTATGTAAATTTAAAAAATTTATTAGATGCTTACACACCTTAGATAAAATTTTTTCTATTTCTTTAATTTCCTCCTATCACATAAAATCCTTCAACATCATTCAATATTTCAGGGAGCTCAATGCCCATGAGTGCAAATAAGGTGTCTTATTCTTTATGAAAAGAGAAGCATGTATGACTTTTAAAAATAAACAGTGAATAAATAAAAAAAAAGTAGTAAAAGGGTAATAAGTTGCTTATTAATGCATATTTTAAAAATAAAAATAACAAAAAATTCTTAAATTGTTCAGCATGACTGTTTTTTTTTATAGCTCTAAGAGTATTGTATAAGGATAAACACATTTTATTTCATGTTATGCCCAGAATAATTTATTTAGTAAATAAAGTAGAACAACATTTAATTGTCATTAAAAATGAATTCACATATTAATAACAAATAAAGTAATGATAGTATTCAAAATTAATTACATGAATGACTATTGATAATTCAGACAATTTTTATATTCTTTTAAAAAGCAAACATAAAGTGCGCACAAAAATGAAAGATACTTAACAGTCGTTATCTTTAGATTATGCTTAAAAAATTAATAAAATAGGAAGGAAGTAATGAGTAGGTAGGTGTATTATTATGTTTTACATAATAACGTTCTGCAATTTGTATTTTATGTTATTTTACGCTGATTTGGTTTTTCAATGATAATCCTTCAAACATTTGATGAATATAAATACTTCATGTCAACATGTTTTTAAGGTATATATGTAATTCATTCACAGTTTCTTTCAGAATAAAAACCAATTTCGAAAAAATATGATTTATATGCGCATGCATTTTTTTTTTTATCAATTATTAATTTTAATAAAACAATGAAGACGTAATACTGATTATTGCAAGCTTGAAACACGGGCGTTGTACGCGCATCACACACTAGAGAGAGAGACAAGACACTACACGGAGAAACACGCCCACCAATCTTACACGTACCTGTTGGTTTGTCATTGAAAAATGTTAAATATTTATCTACAACCGTTCCATTCTGTGTCAAAATTTATATTTCAACATTATTTACTTTTTAACTTTCCATTAGGAAGTTATTGTAATTGGGTCGATTGGTGAAATTTGAATTTTCATTAAATCTCCAAGTTCCAAGATATTTGCAAGCATACTGACATATTTTTAGAATGATGTGTGTGTATACATATGTATGTATGTATGTATGTATGTATGTACGGATGTCAGCATTTTTTCCTTTTCGATATCTTAAGAACAAATTGAGATATCGACTTCAACCAAAATTAATTTGAAAGATATTATTATAAAGAATACCTGAAAGAAATTTTAACGAATTCGATCGGGCCGTTTTTTTTTTAATAACAAAATAACTAATAAAAAAATGAAAAGATAAGCTATTTAAAATACTTTTAAGCCGAACAATAACAATTCCATTTGAAAATTAAGTCGATATTGACGAGACATTATTGTTCACAACCAAATATGACTCTTAAAAATTATGCATTGTTTATAACAATATTAATTTGTTATAAACAATTGAAAATTGTATTTATCGATTAACTGATGCGTACATCACATGGATTTGGATGCTTTCAACAAAAAAATATGATTAATGATGAGATATGACTCTTAGCAATTACGCATTGTTTATAACAATATGAATTTGTTATAAACAATTACTAATGGGAAGTTCGTCGTGTTGGCACAAAGTGAATTATAACAATTATTACCAAAAAAATGAATATTTCAAAATGTACTGTTTGTAAATACATAAATATACACATACATTCGTTGAGCGTTCTCTGTCTTCAATTCACTCCGTAGTTTTAAAATACCTTTGATTGGTTGGTGTTCCAGAAGACATTCCTCTTCTTCCCTTCCTTATTTTCCGCTGCAATGTTTCATCTCATCTATGCTGTTGTACTTTTTTTATGAGGAAATTTATGATTTATTAGAACATATTTCAATATTAAATAAAAGGAACAAATATTATTTCAGGGCTTTTGTACTACAATTTTATGATATTTCTTGTAACTAATCAAATTAAAAAAAAACCCGCGAAATCTTGATACGGTGTAGCTAACTGTGATACAATTTTAATTACTCATAGCGCCACTACTATTGTCATTTGGAAATCAGATTGTATGATTTGGTTAGTGTGTAATAACCTTATTGTTGTTTCAACAGTTTTATGTGCATTACTTTCCAATAATAATTTATTTCTAATAAAAATCTTTTTTGAAAAAAAAAATTTCTCAATTTAAGATCTATTTGGTAACTTATTCAATAGTTATTGTATCGTTGTTTGCTTTTATCAGTGGTTATACGTACAGACATGTCTCACCGTTATCGTAAAGATTCAATATTAGCTAATTATAATCGTCAATTACGATTGTCAAGCCGACGATATTCTCGAAAGAGGAAGGCTGTTAACAAGTAAGTAATATCAAAATCAATCTAAACATGTGGTTATCCGTTTTGTTTATGTTAACCTCTACTATGCCTTGTTTTTATTTTTCTTGATTTACACGTGCTTCAACATATTAAGAGCATGTCCAATCTGTTTACATGATCAATTTTTTATTTATTTTTCATTGCTTTATCACTGCATAAGTGTTTACATTTTTATTAAATTAAAATAAGCTTGCTCTGCTCTGCAAAGCGTCACTCAATGTACAAAACCATCCGTACGTAATATCGGTAGATATTATTGTTATAGAATCATGTGCTGACTTTGTACATGCTTTTTCCTTCAAATAATTTTTAATTCATTTCACGGAAATTAATTACCCACATTTATACCTTGCATTGATACGGTTGAACGATATGTCATCAGGTTTTGAGTGATGTTTACGAGGAGTTTTGATTACTTGTATGATGATAGTTCCTACTTTTATGCTTCTACGGTTTTCAAAATTCCATAAATTTTGTCAAATACATAATTTTTATTTATGCTGTGTTTATTTCCTTCAATTAATGGATGATTTAATGGAATAGAGAATCATGCAGACTTTTTCATCATATCATTCATAAAAACAGTTTTAAAACTTTTCAGTTTTCTATATTTATTTTAATTTGGTCATATTTTCGAATATTTCCATAGTGGTACGTACGATTTCTTTTTTAAACTTTTCTTTTCTATTCCTATGACAATAACATTAGTATATTTTTCTTTTATTCAACGTTTCTTTTTATAATGCTTATTCTTTGTTTCAACATTTCTTAGATCAATAGTAAACATGATGCTAATTGCTTCTTTCTTACACATAGTTTTGGAAAATTAAAGATACCTATGTTCAATGATATTTCATTCTATATTTCAACTACCGGATGATGTCAATACAATCAGCAAATGATGGAAAAGTTCGTGAGTATGGATTTATGCAATTGTTTTTGTGGTTTGTATACATATTCACTAAGATTACATATGATATATGTTTCTCATTATTGAAACTCTTGTAGATGAAACTGCATACGTCAAAACTCCAATGAATCATTCTTACTGTCATTATGCACAGCTGACAGATTATAAACTTTTATTCATGGGCAACAGTTATTGATATGAATTTCATCCACATACATATGGATTCAGGAAAGGATGAATAACCAGTCAACTTCATTCTACTTCTCCACAATTGCATCGAAATAATTCTTTTGTAGAAATTGGAATGGTTCATTTCTAAAGTTTGAATATAACGTGTAATGAATACAATTTTTTGTTATTTTTTTCCTGTTTTAGCGCAAAGCTGTACTACATATGTAACGGTTCAATTATGATAAACTTCATGTATCAATCACATAAGCATACATCTAACATAGATTCGTAATAATCAAAATGAATTGTACTTTTGTGTTGCAATAATTTATAATATAAATGAATTGATAACAATCAACATATCTAACAACATGATTATCTTTAATTACATTTATATAATACCTTCCTTCCAATAATTTTCATCATGTACTTCATAAAAAATTTTATATTTTTATTAATATCAATAATAATTGTCATTGTAATCATTGTCAATCCATCTATTACTTTTAAATATAAAAAATCTTTCCCTATATAAGATTTATTACAGATATAGTTCAGGTATCGTTCAAATATTTTTTAAAATACCTCGTCACAGACGAAGACATCTATCAGCTATATTCCAGACAACTTTGGGTTTAGTCTCATCAACCAATTATAACTATCAATATTTATGTTTTTTTTCGCATTGTAGTATAATTATTCTTTTGCTGGTAATAAACTGGAAAATTCGACAGATTCATCAAATAGTATTTTTATTAAAAAATTCTTTGCCATAATTACTACACCAATTATCTAAATGCAAATTTTTCCATGTTCTTTTTTCTGCATCGAAAGTAATTGTAGACGCTGACTAAAACATTAGTTATACTTCTTTCAATAACAACATTTCTTTACAATACCAGTAGTAAGATTCGATAAAACCAGAAACGTTGTGTATGAACAACTCAGTAACAATTATCCAGTCTTTGATATCAACTTCTTTCGGTTCACAATGAGTATAGCATTAAGCATTAACTTATACTTACTTCTCAATCTAGTCTCAATCTTGTACTTTTATGTTATTATTCGTAATGTATTGCTTTACGTAGTTGTACATGATTAGGTACAATGACTATTTTAAATAATACATTAAATTTCTTTATGATTTTCGCTATCCAACAATTCCAAATTATCAAAATTTAGAAATAATGTTCTGCATACATTCTTTGAATCTGAGAGTTAATTGGTTAAACGTAAAAAATTATTGGTGTCAATTTCAAACATTTCATTTCCTGCACAAAAAAACTATGTACAACGAAGTACAATGTTCTTCGTTATTTTTAGTATACGATGTTTGTTTTTCATAGAATTTTTTTCATATAAGTTCGGTAAATCTTACACCTATTACTCTATCATTCAATATAGCACGCTGTTTTACTATTTAAAATTTAATATGACTAGACTATTAGGGTTATAAGCATAAGAGTTTTCGCGAAATGCATCTGCCAAAAAAAATAATTAATAATGTACTTAACTCTCTAAGTTAAATTTCTATCACAATGAACATATCACAATCTTACTTAAAATCAGTGCAATGTCATCAGCTATCCTATTTTGCAGATTATATTCTGAAATTATTTTGTTTATTGATTTTTGAAGAGACTCATTTTTGCATTTTTCAGCTTGTAATCTTAATTTTAAAGTTTCGACTTCATTTCTAGCATTTTTTAATTCAAATTTTATTTTATTATGTTCTGTCGCTGATATGGGATGGCTGAGATTTGTTTTCTGCCAAAATTGGGAAAAATAAAAATCTATTATTAATTGTATTCAATAGCTAATAGTTAACATATTAATTTTATTTGACACAACCAATGAAGAATGGAAAAGAAGAGTGATACATGAGAATATGTATAAATATACGTTTATATAAGTAACTATTAAGTATATTTAATTTTAAAAAAAAAATTTCTACAAAAATCAAACAAAAATTAATAATTATATTCCCGAGAAAAATTTTCTTATATAATTGTATATAACCTTATGTGGATCGTATGTGGAAGATATATGATCTTATATGTTTTATATACGGTCATATAGGAAAAATTTTCCCCGAGGTTTTTATAATCTAGCTTATCATGAGTCTATAAAAATACATTATGTGAATTTTTAGAAGACTTTACTAGAAAATAATATTTTCCTTGAGGAAAATCGTATTTTAGAATTTTGGAATTAAAATTCTGTCTCCATTATTAGTCAACAAAGCGACGAATTCTATCCTGAATTGAATAACGAGAAATCGTCTGTTTATAAGCGCAGACATATGCTGTCTTTCTTAGCGAAACAGAAAACATCATAATTGTAACCTTAAAAAGGAAACAAAGTTTTAACTTTTTATGATGAAATGAATAAAAATAATATTTGGACTACTGGAGCGAAGTAAACCATCCTTATAAGGTAGATCTGGGTGTTCGCCGCCGTGACAGTTCTACACCTACGTCAGAATATTATACATTGTTCACTCGGTATATAAGGATATTATTTGAAAATATCATAATATCTGATTAGTTTTTTTATTAGAGTTTTAAGTAAAATGTTTATAGAGGGATTATTATAATGCATTGAAAATGAGAATGTAAAATAATACAGTTTTAATAATTAAACAAAATATGTCAATAAAAAAAGAAAAGATCAATCAAACAACTAACTATTGAAAGCCACAGAATAATAAGTATCTGTTATTGATGCAGTGGAGAGCTGTAAATAATTTAATCAATATATACTTACGTACTTTCGTTGTTTTTAAATGTTCAGTATCAGAAGTAATTTTTTGCATTTACATATCTAAAAAAAATCCTCAGATAAACCTGAAAACATGGAGCATATACTTGAAAATATTTTTTCCAGACCTTATGTGTACTCCTCAAAATAATACTATAGAATTTGATAATGATTCCCAATAGTATATTTGGCTGACAAACAAACAACTTGAAATAAATGTTCCTAGTTAAACATTTTAATTGAAATCAATAAAATCCAATTAAATTTAATAGGAAATAATTTGAATGTATTGGAGTGAGTTGGAAACATGTTTCTACCGAGTTCTATAGGTAATTTTTTTTTTTGATTTCAATTGGAAAATTTTCAATTGAAAAAGTAAACTTAAAAAAAAGACAACTCAAATTTTATGTTTTAATTGAATTCCATCAGAATCTCTATTAGCTTCCATTAGAAATGAACAGCTTTCTGTTAGAAATAAAAACGTAGTCAGGAAAATCAATTTTTTACGATAAATTATTATTCAATAATTATTTTAATATTTTTCTTAAATGTTGGGAGTCTTTAATATGTTTAGAGATTGATAACTCTAATTTATAGTTTAAAAATATCTCGAATAGTATAGGAATGGATACATTTTCTCAATTGAATCCTGTTAGAATCTCTTTTGATTTCTATAGGAAATCTGATTAAAACTCAATCGGATCATCCTATAAGATCTAATTAAAATATTTTTCAGACATTATTTTTATTTAAGTTTTTATTCGATTGAATATTATTTATTTTTAATTCGAAATGAAATAAAAATTATCTAAAAAATCCTATAGAGACATGTTTTTAATTTACTTCAATATATTCCAATTCTTTCCAAATTGAGCAGATTTTTGTTCGATCCGATTAAATCCAATTCTAGGTCTATTAGATTCAATTGGATTCCACTGGTTTCAATCGAAATATTTAACCAGGAATGTTATCAGATCATACAAGAAGTTATTAGTAAACTTTTATAATTCTCTTATCTAATATTATCAAGATGTATGTACGAATTTTCTTATAATAAATTATGCATAAAAAATTAATAAGGATAAAATCCAAAGAAATTTTTTATGCGTACACTTTGAATTTACTTTAATTACTATTTATTAATTGCTTACAATGAAAAAGTTTCTCATTCCTTAATTTCACTTTAAGCTCAGCTATATAATTATTGTAAGAACATATTGAATTGAATTATAAGAACTTATTGAAATATTATTAACCAATCAGTTCTCACATATTCCAATAGAATATATTCTTATGTAATCTGATAAAACTAGTCAGTAAAACTATAAAAATGACTAGCTTGTACCCGCGATTTCGTTCGCAATTATACTTTTTTACTGTGAATAATAATACTTAACCGTGAGAACAAATACGATCATTATAAAAATAAAAGACCGTTCAATCTAATACAAGGTTCTACTGCAAATTATATTCTTATCACTACTTTTACGATTTTAATTTACGATTACTTAAAAGACACTAATTTCTTATAGTCCTGTAAATTGAGATAAAAACATTAAGCTAATTGTAGTATAAATGAATTTTACTTTCTAGCCGGTTTTTAGTAAGGAACGCGAGTAGGCATTTTTGTTTATAAAAAATGAGCTTTTTCCATGAATTCTCAATTAAATATCTCTAGGCATGATGCATAAGATTTGTAGAGATTTTTTTAGAGAGTTAAATGAAACCAGTCTCAGATCTCTGTGATCCATAGTTCTCGAGATTATCTAATTGTTATTAAAGAAGTAGCTGTTACGTATAAACAAACTAATTTTTTAAAGTCTTTTGTTTAGTATTTCCTATTTTTGATCCCAAAAATAGGAAAAAATTATTAAATTAAATACATTTGCAAAATGTAGAATTAAATGTGCGAATTGCTCAGTTTATCAAGAAATCATTATAAATAAATTAATTATAATGTTTTCATCAATGTTCTCTCTCAGATGCACAGGTTTTAGCGATTGTTCTTGTTCCTCTACCATAACAGCCCATTGAACTGCAGTTGATATTTTTAATATCATTAATCAATAAAAAGCATTTAATAACAACTTTCGTCTTGTAAAAAATGCTACTTCGGACCTAGAAACATTGACAAAAATACTAAAATTTTTATACTAAAATTAATTCAAAAATCAGCCTTTTCGAGATTTAATTGACTGAACTATTCTCCTTTAATCTGCCCCGCCTTCCCTGCACTTAGCTACGGGGCCATTGTACTGGGTCCAAGCTTGTGGTAAAGGCGGTCTTAGGTGGGTTGGTACAGCCCGGCCTCGTAGCAAAATTGCAGAAGCCTGGCCGTCCCGACCGTCTCAAGGATGGGTGCGTCGGTCTCAAGGTTCCCTAACAGGCGCTGCCTGGGTTCCCTTAGCCCCGAGCATTCCCTTATCATGTGAAGAGGCGTCTCTTCCTCCTCACCACACCACCGGCACGCGGATTCCTCTCCGCGTCCCAGCATCTTCATATGGCGTCGAGTTAGCCAGTGCCCTGTGACGGTGCCCACGGCCACTCTTAGCCTTCTTTTATCCAGTTCGATCAGGTCCCTACTCACTTGAGGTGTGGGTTTCCTGATGA